ATATTTTATATTAAGTACAGAGTTCTCTTGATTTTAAAGTTTTGTTATTAAATAGAATATGCCACTGTAAAGGAATTCTTATCACCGGCTTAAGAGATAACGAGAGACAAGAAAATCCAACTATAAATATTTCCTTATCGTGGTCTTTACAGAGAATGAGAGACGATTGCTCTCTCAACTGATAATAGTCTTCTTGGGTCTGACCTGAACTCAACTCAGCATTTGTGTTATTAGTTTACTTTCACTTCTCTAACCGGTCGGTCGTTCTATTTTCTATAAAATGCTGCTCTTAAAGCATCCGAAAACCGGTCAAAGCCTGGAGATCTATGAGTTTTGGCTCCGTGATCATTGTCGCTGCGGGGAGTGTCTGAATTTGGATACCAACCAGCGCCGTTACGATATTTTGGATCTGCTAGCGGATGTAAAACCGGTAGAGGTTAAATACGAAGGCTTGAAGCTACAAGTGAAGTGTGGGTGGAAAATATATAACTCTATTCTCAGCATCATTTAATATATTTATAAAATCTTAGGGAGTGACGACCACCAGTCTAGCTATGACCTGGACTTTATATTCGAGTCTCAGCTGGAACAGTTGATAAGTCGGCGATCAAATTCCACTATTCTGACGCCCTGGAATCGCAGCATTATCTTGCAAAACGAACAGCAATTGCGATTCTCCTTGCCCCAGCTGATTTCCAGTGATGATAAAGTGAAATCTTTGGTTGAATCTCTGGTTCGATATGGCATTGTCTTCATTGATGACGTGGCTCCCACGCCAAATATGACCGAGCTGGCCCTGCGAGCTGTTTTCCCCCTAATGAAAACTTTCTTTGGTGAAATGTGGACCTTTAGCGATAAGCCCGATCATGCGGATACCGCTTACACAAAACTTTACCTGGGCTCCCATACGGATAATACCTATTTCTGCAATGCAGCTGGACTTCAGGCCCTACATTGCATCGAACACTCTGGTACAGGTGGAGAAAATTTCTTTGTGGATGGTCTGTATGTGGTAAACGAATTGAAACGTCGATTTCCCGCTGCCTATAATCTGCTGTGTAGAGTTCAAGTTCCTGGGGAGTATATAGAAAAAGGGGAGCATCATCGCCACTCGGCTCCTATTATACAGGTGGATCCACTGACTCAGGAATTCATTCAACTCAGGCTGAATGTTTACGATCGGGCTGTGTTCGATACTATTCCGCAATCCGAGATGACCTATTTCTATGCCAGTCTTCGTCAGCTCTTGAAGATTGTTAAGGATGAAGAGCAACAATGGACTCTGAAGTTAAATCCTGGCAGCATTGTGCTCTTCGATAACTGGAGAGTTCTCCATGGTCGCCATGCTTATACAGGGAGTCGCACCATGTCCGGTTCCTATGTGCAGCGTACCGATTTTCTCAGCAAGGCTCGTGTCTTGGGAATTATCGAATAAATACTTCGAAGAAATATTAATATTATAACTAAGTAATAAATAAAAATAATGAATATTTTTATGAACATATATTGTCTAATTATTGTTATTTTCACCACAAATCATTTAATTTATACATGAAATACTTTGTATTCTACAGTCTAGACATGATGTAACTACGAATTCTTCTTCTGAACCGAGTTCTTATCCAATTCAATTTCGATTGCAAATGCCAACGCATCATAATAAAAAGTTACGATTACAATTGCTGGCCAGCGTCTAATTTTTGTCATAGGGGAGGTATACGAAGCGCATACAAAAAACCGGCAACAAAAATCATTTGGCATTTGTTTTTATGGCCAACGTCTCATGCGTGAGTGTGTGTGTGTGTGGCATAAACAAACGCACTTTGAACTTTTTCATTTAAAAGTGAAATTACTTTTTGTTGGTCGTGCAGGCTAATGGCTGTCGCGTTGCCGTCCTTTAAATGTCCTCCAAATATGGATGTGCCTTAAAGAGAGCGAACGAACAGGGTCTGAATATTTATGATAATTGCATTTCATGCAGGTTTTCCCGCCCGCTTTTCCCGTATTTCAGCCATTTCCCTCTCATATGCGCCGGCACGACCGGGAAAAGCCTTTAAAAGCAGCTTCGATGCCCCAGCTGGGCGATAAATATATATATTTTTGTTCGCTTTTCCTTCGCCGGAAGTTGCAGCGCAGCAGTCGTGCCTTTGCATGGCATACTTTTCGGCATTCCACTTCCGTTTTAAAACGCTGCACTCACTTTGAGCCACCAGCCACCGGGGCACTTGTCGATGTTTCAATAAAATCAACAAGCACACACACACACTGTCACACGGACACAAAGGACACACACACACACATGTGTGACTGGCCAGGAAACAGGACATTCCGGCCGAAAATAGTGCAAACACAAAGCGCCTGCTTAAATCACTCGTAATTAATATGCTCGATAATAATTCATATGCCCTTGAATGGCCAGCTAAACTTAATAAATGACTCATAAGTTTCACCTACATACGGCAATAAAAAGCCAAAAAATAATAAAAACAATGGTCGGGGCAGGGAAAACAAATGCCAAACTAAAATCAAATAAAACAGGGCAGAAAAAAGTGGCGGGCAAACACACATAGTCTCTCGGGCAACAACAAACAAACAAACAAAGAAATCATTGAACCAATTCAGCGACCAACTCAACAACCGGAAACGCGTTTCGAATAAAAACGAATTGAGGACTTAACAATAACAGTAAAAGGCAAGGGCAATGGCGGCGGTAGGGCAAAAAAAAAAAGAAGAAAAACAGCAACACAAACGGCAAATGGCGTCGGTTGATGGCGACGAAGCATAAAAACCACTCGCCTTGGCTTTATTTTTTATGACCGCCCAGCATGCAATGACGAAACCAAAGCCAGGTGCCACTGGCCAAGAAGAACCGCTGGCCAGGAGCTGCGGGCCAAGAGCAAGAATCTAGTTAACTGGCCATCAAATGCACGCAGCACACGGGGAGAAAGAACTTGGGTACTTAACATTTACCTAAAGTCTTCATATTGAAAATTGGTAATATTAGGATTTTAAGGTGTCAAGTGTTATAGTTCATCTTTTGTTTTATATGATTAAAACAAGAAGTATCCAAATATTATATTATTTTAGAAGCCAAAACCTTTTACGTCCCAACTTCTTTATTCTATACTCACTTTGGATACCTATAAAGTATATACATAGGTATAAATGTAAAACTCTTCTACAAACTAAAATTAATTAATTTAAATGGGAAAGTGTTGCAAGATATTTTTTTTGCAATAAAATCTGTTGACTTCTATGTTTAAAAAAGAAGAAAACAATTTGCCTTTAGTGCAATCATATTTTTAAAAATAAGTAGACAGCTTTTTTGACATATTTAGTAGAAGGATTACCCAACAAAAGCGTTATTTCATATTTCTTTGTGATTTGTTTGTGATATAATTGTGATCCGCACATACCAGCTCTAATTGACACATAAAATCCCTCTCAAAAATAAAAACATTTCCCTTTTAATAACCCTACGACTTATCAATCGTTAGGAATTTATTTGGAAATATTGTCAAACCATATTTGTATGCTTTCAAAGCAGCCTTTTCCATTTTCTTGTGTAAGAACATAAGTACTCTGCGTTTCTCCCCCGATCCACAGCCAACGAGTTTTAATTGACACCACGAAGGAACCCAAAAAAAATCCCCAAATCCAAAGACCCCCAAGGATATTCGGAAAAAATAAAACCGTGCGGAACCAAGGGGCATAAAAATGATGGATGCCTGTGAAAAATGTCACTTGTTGCGCAGTGGATGCGAATGTTCCGATGTATGTTGGCCAACATCCAGAATCCCCCCCCCATTCGGAAGCAACTTTATGTTCAACTAGCAAATAATCATGTCCGGTCTGCATGGGACAAGGGCGTTATTGGATAGGTCGTAGGGCAATCACAGGGGTTACCGAAAGGGGGGTGTTCAGTTCAGTTCGGTTCGGTTCGGTTCGGGTCAGTTGAGTGACGTGAACCACATGGTTCCCACACCCACCACTACCACTTCCACTTCCTATTATCCCGGTCTCCATACTCCATGGACGCCCATTGTCCGGCAGTTTGCTTGTTTTGCTTTTTGGCGATTTTACGGCTTATGACGAGCCAAACGAGTCCCTGTCCCTCCACGTGTATTTGTGTGCGTCTCCGGCTCTGCTGGCCTGTGTTTGTGAAGTGTCGGCGTAGCCGGGTTTATTAGTAGGGCTTATGTTTTATGGCCAAAAGGACAATGGATGGCCAACAGATGTTTGCCCTTTGTTTGTCGTAGTAGTAGTTGTCATATGCTCGAATAAGCTGTCACACACCCACCACGTATGGTCTATGTGTAACATAATTTATTATGTTATAAAATATTATCCGGGCCACGTTCCAAGCGCTTCGCAACGCTTCATTGGCCGCTTAAATCGACCGTTTTGTTTGGAGACTCAATTATTCATACAGTAGTTGTTATAACCCCCTTCTTTGGCTCTTATTATGACATGTGTCTGGTTTGTAGTTGTCTGCCTGCCATTTATAACAACTGTCATGGCCCACACCTGCACTGGGAAAAAAGGATTGTGTTGTTTAAAAATTCTTGCAGATCTTACATTTTCTACAGGCCTTTTACATGAGGCAAATATATTACCATGCAATTTCAATATATATTGTTATAATTTTATTAAATTCTAATTTTAAAAGTGAAGTTTCTTTTTTTTTTGCTTTTCTTAAAACAAAATATGAGAAAGATAATCTGAAAAATTAAATGATATATCTTTAAATTGTTAGAACTGTTTTTTTACCTTTTCCTATTTTAGTTTGTATATTTTCTCTTTGTACACCGAATCATACAGTTGGTAATCGATGTGCAGCTCCCAAAATGAACCAGCACGACATTAAATGTCAAAGCTTAAGCACTGCTGCCATTTATAGATCATTAAGCATATCCGCCCAATCCCCCAAATGGATCCAACTGTCACTCACTTGCCACAACATGTTGTACTCAATACCGCCGACCTCCTCCTATTTGCAGTGTCCTGCAGCACGGTGACGGTGACCAAGTGCCAGGCGGCCCTTCGCACCCTGCAGGCCTTCCAGTTTTTCCGGCCCACCTGCCTGTGCAAGGAGCCCGGAATGGATCCCGATTGCAACCACTTCCGGGACTTTCTCTTCGATCATCCGTGCGGATTTGTGCTGAAGAAAGGTGGGTCTGCATAGGACTTTCTTAAAAAGTATCGCCTTTCTAACTGATTTTTGTATTTATATCCCTAGCCGAGAAGGATCCTTATCCCATTGATGCACTACCAACTTGCAACCATGCGCTTTCCGTCTGCCAACAGGAACGCAAATGCCTGAAGCTCTTCGAGGACTTTAAAACGCATTGCAAGGTGCGCGACAACAAGTGCAAAATGGAAAACAGGTGAGTTAATAACACCAAGAAATTGTCAGAAACTAGTTTCTATTACCACTGTAAGGATTTTATTATTTAAATTTTTTTTCAGTTGGATATGTAAGTTTTTTGGGAGACATTAGAAATGAAATAAAATTCAGACTTCATAAATTACTCAAAACACAGTAACGATTCAAGAAAAAATTTAATTGCACCGAAAAGTATTAGCTTCCAATCCAATAATTTAGTCCTTTTCAAAGAACCCGATGCTTAAAAATTGATATGACACGCATTTAATTACCCCTGCGTTTTTGCCTTGCTAACCACATTCAAAAATCCATATCGATAAAAATTCATATCAACATTATCAGCCCTTTTTAGACCACAGAACGAGCGGAGATAATTAGTTAGTGACCCAATTTCAGATGATTACGTAAAAAAAAAGAACAAAAATGCTTTAAAACCGAACTATCATTACTCTGAAAGACAATACCTTCAATTAATAGCTCAATTTTGTGGCGTTTCGATTAAAGTATGAAGTAAATTATGAAAATGGAAAATCGAAGTCCAATACCAAGAGCCAATTCCGATAATGAAAATTAAATTAAAGCGTGTTTGACTTAATAAGAAAATTGATTTGCTCCATGCCGCAGCGTGGTCGTGCCGCTTAATGGTTAACGGCAAATGCAAATTGCATTGGCAGTTGGCAAAAGGCATGGAGTGGTTTGGTCTCGAGTGTGCCCACCTGTCCCACTAACCGGGGTTAAAAAGGAATGGAGGGGGTGGTTGCCACCCCACCAGCCGCCTTGCAACATTCAATTTCGATATTCGATTTTATTGGCAAAAAACACAACGCATACAGCAGACAGCAGCGTAAACAGGAGTCAAGTTGAGCGAACAGAAGGCGAAATGAAACTTCCTGCTTGCCGGCATCTTGCTGCTTCCTTTAGCCATCACATATCCTTACTGACGCGATTTCCTCCCTGCCAGGACTCGTCTGGCTCATTGCCTCATTGCCTCAATGGCTCGATGGCTGGATGGCTCCTTGCCTCGATACACTCGAATACAAACGTTCTGAATGTTTTAATAACTCGAAATGACTTTTTGCGGCGGCAGTGTGGGAGTTGGGCGCTGGGAGTTGACTTCAGTGCAGACTTTCCAACTTGGTCTTAAAGTTCTCCACTACAACACAACCCACTTTATCCCTCCAACCCAGCCTAAAACTTTCCGCACGCATGCCAGGCATTCTGGCTGCGGGTTTTTGGTTCGGGTTGAGATCCACCTATGCGATAAAATATTAATTGCAGCCCCGTGTGGATGCACTGGGGAAAACTAGGGTTTTAATTTAATAAATTTTAAATATATTAAATACAAGTTTTTCCCAAAAATCTTTGTTCTTAGTCTAATACGTTTATGTTCCTAAGCTTATTTTTAATTAAATGCATATCCTAAAGATATACATTTTGTTATATTAAAGTAAAATCTATATTGTTAACATATCTAGCAATCCATAAAATTTTAAAAAATTTTATTAGAATTATTTTTATTTAGATTTTTTTTATTTTTAAAATTTTTTCAAATGCAGGAGATCAAATTTCTCAAGGTGCACATGCATTTTTGATGTAATTGGCAATTTTAAACTTTGCATGCCCCGAACGGAAGTCGCTGGCGATGCGGCTTCGGTTGCGGCGGTTGGGGACTCGAAATGAATTCAATTAGCCGGGGTTTGGAAGACGAAACTTAGACCCCATTTTGGGTGGAGAATATATATATGAGTATAACCAGAACTATCATCGTTTTCGTTGCAGGGACGCCTGTCACGATTCCTGGACCAACCTGCGGCTGTCGCCCATGTTTGGATGTATCTGCCCGAACAACCATATGAAAAAGCGCTGTGATCGTATCTTTAATATTGTTAATCACAATCCGTGTGTGGGTAAGTTTCGACTGGCGTTGCTCAACTGTTGACCGTGACTGCAAAAAACAACTATAATAACAACAGCCAATAACAATAACTACAACAAGCAACAACACAAACAGCTGAGAGTAAAAAAGACAAGAAGCAATTGCTTTTAAGATCGTGGATAAACTATATAGTTTTTGTTTTCATTGTCCTCTGTTCTTATGTGTCTCTCTTTCTCTGTCAACCTCTGGTATCCAAGTTCTTGTGTTACTTCTTATGCGTACGGTAAATGATGATCACCATTACCTGCCTAAATCGAAACCGATTTGATACGTTCTTTAGTGACTTTTGATTTGGTTTTCCGTTTCCGTTTCTGTTTCTGTTTCCATTTCCGTTTCCTTTGGTTATTGTAATTTTGTGAAACGCTCAAAAACCGAAACTAGCCTAACCATTTAAGTAACCTAAACAAAAACCAGAAACTAAACTATCGCACGCTTCTGCATCAAAAACCAACTAGAGAAAAAACCCAAAATGAAACCCATGTTCTGCGATCAGTAAACAGTAATCAATATGCCTATATCCAATATATATCATACTGTACGAACATTAGCTATGCTCAGTAAACCTAAATATCACGTATACGAATGTATATCAATGTAAACCAAAGCTGCCGTGCTATCTCTCTCTATCTCTCTCTCTCTCTCTCTATACCTATCTCGCTCTCTATCTGTCACTTAACCAAAGTTTGTTGTAGCTGTAAGCTATCCTGGCCATAACTACATACAGTCACTCGCTAAAGTTAACCGCCACCCAGCGAACTGAGTCTGTGCTTTAGATTGATTGCACCCAAAAAAAGAACACCACTTCTAGAACTAACTCTCTCTAACCCCTAGTTATAAGTCGAACGCTAGATCAAGCTATACTAACCAAACACACTCTCTGTCCTGTCATTTCGCTATTTAATGTGCAGGAGTAGGGCTAGAATAATAAACTCGGTCGGATGAAAGCTTTGATTTCCCCCCCACTACGCCAGACCACGAAAACAAGTCTTTAAAGCATAATTTCATTTTCCACTTCACCCGACCACCTGCACTAATGGATTAACAGCACCCCAGAGCAGAATGATCCCATTCTCTCGTTTCGCTGAATTTTATTATACAAGTACACACTAATTGCACTAATTAAATACCCGCGCACACCCACTCACACACACACACCTCTACAAACTTGGTTTAATAGCAACAATTTGCACCGCACAGGCACTAAATGTTTTTCTCTATTCTTCCGCACGCATGCCCCCTTTGGTATTACCAACATCCCCCCAAATACCATTTCCCACTTTCAGATAGACTAATATTTTTCCCCAACGGTCTGCCCAAATTGAAGCAACAGAGACCAAAGGCAAAGCCGCGGCCCAAACCGAAACCCAAAGCGAAACCGAAACCCAAGCCGAGGCAAAAGCACCATGGCATCAATGGCACGGAGCTCATGACCAACAATATCGAGTACCATGATGAGCCCAACGGACTGAACGATCCGGAGGACGAGGCCAATGAGACGGAGGACGAGGACCCCGATGGGGATGGTAATGGTACTGGGGATGCTGATGATGATGACGAGGAGGAGGACGACGATTATGATGACCGCATACGAGCCGAGATTTATTCGAATTACCCGCACTACCTGCATCCACCGTCGTGGGGGATTAACAATCCCCTGGTCCTCGCCTCGCACAGTCCGCACACTCTGGACGACGACGATGACGTGGTGGTGGAGGTGGTGACCAACAGGAAGCCACCGTCGTCCAACCACCACCACAACGATGAGCTGGAGCACGACGTGGTCGTGGTGGTGGATGCTGGACCCCATTCCCACTCGCATCCGCACCAGCACACCTACTACAGCCACGGCGATCAGAGCTCCACGACGGGATCTGGACCACCGGGCCCGGCACCCACGATTCCCAGCCCACCTAAGTATGCGGCTGGCCCAAGTTGCAAAAGTTCTCTATCCCCCCTCGGTTCTGACTTAAGTTGGCATCTTCGACTGGCAAACTTTTTGCTTTTTTGCAGTTCCAGAAAGTTTAGAACCCGCACACACATATGTGTGTGATTGCTGAAAAGACCGCCTCCCCCCCTTTCATTAACTCCGGTCTTAACCACCGAGGAGCTGAAAACTTTATGCAAAAAGCTTTTAAAATAATTGACTCACTTGGGTATGCCACAATTTCCGGTTAAAAAGCCAACTAATGAATAAGTCCAGTACGAAGCACTCGTACTAATCGGCTCCCAGGGCACTTGTCGAGCATTTATATAATCTGATTTTAATGCATTGCATCTTTGTAAATATAGCAGTCGAGTCCAAGTCCTAGTCCTACCTAGAGACAGAATTAATTTATAATGCCAGTCAGGGCCAGAAGTGCAGACATCCAATGGTTTGGGGAGGCTATAACCTTCGGCTCCTCAGCTTGGTAATTGGCTATTGTATTCGTAATGCCCTAAGCCGATTAATGCCCACCTTAAGTCAGTTTCTTTCCGTAACAAACGAGATTTATGTAATTTGCTAAATCTACTTATGCATTTGGTTGTTTAGTTTGCACCCCACAAAAACAACACCCACTTTAACCCCACTGAGCACTCTGTTTTGTAATTTGCACTTAATTATCTGTACAACTCTGCAATTTATTCAGCACTGGCACCAAAATGCACAAAACAGCACCACTCGGCGATTTAGTTGCCGGCAGCGATATAACCCACCGCACCTACACAGGACCCTCGATGGAGGAACGAGGTGAGTTCACTAATTGCACTTAGCCAGGCTGGCCTGTAATTTAATCCGCACGCCCCCGGCCATTTGAAATAAATATGGAAACGATTGCTGCTAAATTATGAGAGCTATTTATATATTAGTTGGGCTATTTACGGGCCAGGGAAATGATAATCTCAATTTGACCGACTATTAGCAGAGACAAATCGATTTGCAAGCCCATTTGGTGTGTTCTTTTAAGAGGAGTGAAGGGGGATACTTATATCATTTTTCCTATTTATTAGAGTATATAGACTATTGATTTTATTAAGTATTTAGTATAACTACCAGATTAGTAGCACAAAGATATAATTCTTAGAAAGAATATATTTTTTACAGAGAATCAATGCGCTTCCAATGTGTATTTGTTATTTAATTTAATACTTCTATAGTTAGTTTAGTTTGGGAAAAGTATTTTTGAATGTGTATTCATTTCATTAATAAAGCTAAAAAAATATTCGGTGAAATCAAGGGTAACTTTGTATTTTTAATTAATTCAGGAAAAGTTCTTTCCCTTGTTATTATAAATTTATTTTTAGTAGCTTCCGTTTTATTCCTTGTTTGCATGTGAAGAAAGGGTAATAATTGCTTTGACCTGCCAAAATGTTCTAAAGTCCTATCTCAGTGGGTCACATTTAATTCAAATTAAATATTTATGCACTGCGAATGAGAAATGAAGCCAAGGGTCAGGTCGTAAATTAGACAATTGGCGTGTAAGTAAGTATTCCGCAAGGAGCAAGATGAATTTAAGCGCACCGAGAAGCACTTGAATGCCCCACTCTCTACCTTCCTCTCTTTCTGGCACAATTTGCACCACTATCGCCGTCTCCCTCTCACAAATCTCACCCTCTCGCTCTCACACTCTGTTCAAAAGCTTATTAGGCAAACAAAGCTGCCAAACTCGAGCGTTCTGGCCAGGCCAACAGGCGTCCTTTGTTGTTTGCAGCTCGCTCCATGGCATTAGCTATCTGCAGGGGCAATCAGTTGCAGTTCCATGAATGCACAGATACTCCACATACACACACACACACATACGCAGCGCACACACACACAGCCCCACGAATATCCTGATGCAATGCACACAAGTGCCATAAATAAGCATTTCGACCCCTTAACGCGTCATCAAAAAGCAAAAACCAAGAACTGTAACCCTGCACTCCACTGTGGCTTTTGGTTTATTGGTATTCTATTCTAATTAATATACACTCTACACTGAGAAAAGGATATTCAAGAAGCAGAATCAAGTTATTGTAATTTATTAAAATTTTCTGGACTCGGAATCGGTAATATGCCAATTAGCGATTAAGAAGAAACCACGATTAGATGACAAAGTTATCAAAACCGGTCTGTCAAACAGAAAAGTGATTAAAAATAAATTTAATCTAAAGTTCACAACCCATCTACTTTCTACCATTTGTCGAAAAAAAACAAAATTTTTACTTTTTGTTCTTAATATCAAGAAAGTTTCTTCTCGAAAAAAAACAACAAAATTCTTACTTTTTGTTCTTGATATCAAGAACGTTTCTTCTCGAAAAATAAAACAAAATTCTTACTTTTTGTTCTTGATATCAAGAACGTTTCTTCTCAAATAGAAGACAAAACCTAAATATTTCAAGGCGAGTCTCTATTATAAACAAAAATATTACAAAATGTTGTTCTACATAATCTTGCAATGTTTTACCAGATTTTGAAGTCAACCAATACAAGGCAAAAGTTGCTATTAAAATTAAGATTTTTGCCTCTTGAATTCTTTTTCTCTGTCCAGTCATGTTAAGTTTTCCATCGTTTGCTGCTTACTTACAGACTCGGTAATTTCACCCAACACAATAAAACAGACTGCCTGCAATTGTTAATGGCCTAATCAATGCATCCTCTCTTGTTTGGCCCTTTGATTGTCGTTGTTGCGCATCCGGTTTTTATTTATTGCCACAGATTTCACTTGCCATTTGACGACGGCCGTCCATCATCATCGATGGTGTTTTGTTTCCAACACGCTGCACTCGGCAATCAGCTCGACAAAGTTATAAATTCCCCAGCCTGCATGCTGCATTGTGCACTTCTGCATACAGCTTTGTCTATTGTTGCAGCTGCCGAGCCATGGGATTGCTGTAAATATTAGCAAACTATTTATGCACGTCAAGCGCACACGCACACGCACTCCGATTTCCCGATTTCCCGATTTGCATACATTTTCACCGACACTTGCCTTATTTACGTTTATGGCGACCAGTAAATTAACAACACAAGCAGCCACAACAATAAGCCCGAATATGGCGGGGTTATCTGATTTTTGGTTGAATTTTTGGGCCCAATGCAGCGAGAGATATGCATAAATATCGAAGCTAAAGGCAGTTGAGATTCGGTGACGCTTTTTATTTGAGCTGCTTTATTTAAATTGAATTGTTATTGTTGCTGATTGGATTCTCAAATGCAAAGCATAAACATTGTCAATGGCCTCGAGGGCTTTAAAATTTCCAAAATGACAGCAACAATATCCCTATGTAGTTAGTATATTTGCATAGAGCAACAATGGCAGATGAAAATAAATAAACAATGTAGGGATTTATGACTTAGCTGGCGTCGCTTTTGTTACCGTATAAAGTAGTAAGGGAATTCAAGGGAATCATCAAAATAAATAAGTTACTTTGTATAACCCAAAATTATTTTTAGTAATTCCATATTCCAAAATATTTTCTAGAAATTATAATATCAAGGTAACCAAATCGACTTATAAAATATGATCGCAAAAATCCTAAGATTTCCTTCTTATCGAAAGTTAGTGTTGACCCTAACTTCCTAGCCAGAATCATTTGGTTAGTTTAACAGCAGTAAACAATTTAATAGTACAGTTCCCACACACTCCCCGGATAATGGGTATCACATCTATAAAAATTAAGCTGAGCGTTCAATTTGAAAATTTAATTAAGCACAACTAAAAAGCAAATAAAGCGATTTGTCAGCATTGCGCCAACAACAAAACGAAGCAAACACGCTTGCCAAGCACACCCTTGCACCTCACCCACCACCCACAACTAAGCACCCAGAACCACCCTGCACCGCCCAGCGCACCCCACCACCCACATAGCTATGTATATCTATGGGATACATTCTATATATATGTACGATGTTTGCGTGCAATAAATATTTTCATAATATTGTACAATCCACTTAGAAGTAGCAGAGGGCGATGTTGATGCCACAAACCATTCTGCTGCCGCCATTCCAAGCACCTATTTATGTTAGTGTGCGCTTGCATGTGTGTGTGTGTGTCGGTGTGCATATCTGTGTGTGATGCAGCTGCTCACGGCTTTCCCAATTAGGGCATGAAAACCACGGCTATTTGATATGGCAGTCGTAGACCGTAGTCGGCAAACATATTCGCGTTTCTAGCATTACACGCATTTGGCCAGAATGTAATTTTCAAATTATTGCACATTCCCCCAAAATTTATTTCCATTGTTTATGAGTTTGTTTAAATTTCGCGCACAGTATCTTTATCTATGTATCTGTATTCAGTATCCTGTACATTGGTATGTTTACATTCAACTTTATAGAAACTTTGCGCTTTGGTTTAATGTTAAATGGCATGCAATGACCCCCCAAGTGCAGCGGATGCTGAAACGTTTTGTATGGCAGCCAACGCGGCGTATACGCAACAATTAGATGACACAGATCCACAGATCCACTCAACGACAGGAGGAGCTTACAAGCGCGATAACAGTTAACAAACGGAGCTAATCCCATTCAAGCCACCCTCCCAAGACATCCATTCCTCCGCTCCGCTCCATTCTGTTCTGTTCTGTTCTGTTTGTTGTGCAAATATTTGCGATGGCAGTGGGAGCGACAAACATAAGTACGTCGCACGTATCCTGGCAAATCCTTGGCCATTTAGCGCCAGCAGTGGACCCTCTAACAGACATTCCTGCGCGGAGGTGGGCGTGGCCCTGGGATTGGCATCCTTTTGAGCTTTGCCAGACGCCGCAAATGAAGCGCACTTCGGCGTGCTCTCGGCGAGATAAGCCAAAATGCCACTGACACAAAAAATGTTACAAGAAAGTATTTTTATTTAGGAAATTAGAAGGGATGAAGGCATAACATAGCTTGAAACTGCATAATATTATTACATTTTATAATTTATAGGTATAGAACTAAAGATTCTTACGAGACCTTAAGCTGCCTTATAATAATATTGTAATGAGTATTTATTTCATAGCTTATTCTGGATATACAGAATATTAAAATTATTTATAAAACAAGGAAATAAACATAAAATCCCTTACTAAAGGTTTTATTATTATTTGAAAATTTAACTCAACTAAAATTTAAGACATCGTTATAAAAGTCGATATAAAAAATATTTTAAAGGGGTGTTGTGGAAAAAGTGATGAAAAGTAAATTAAAATATTGTTTGAAAATTAGAAAAAATCTTTAAGCGTCCAGAAATTGAATGAGTAGATTTTTTTTTTATATAACATTAACCACAGGGAAAACTTCTAAAATTCAAAAGCGATCGCATAGTAGGATACATACATAGCAATTCCCAAAAAATATTAGAAATTTCTTTTTCCAAAGAATCTTTAAAATAAAATTCAAAATGTTTTGTATAGCTTGATTTAATTATGAAAAGATTTCTAGTCATGTAATTCTTATGCCATCTAGTAACAAATAATATATTTTCCCAAGTGTCGTAGCTGATAGCGAAGCTACTTCTGCGGTTGCAAACCGTTTTGAGCCCGACCCGTTTGCCATTTGGCCGCTCTATCAGCGCATGACATTTGACAGACAGTCAGGCATTCAGACATTCCGACAGTCAGTCAGACAGACAGTCAGAGACACAGGACGGGGCGCTTCTGTTTGTCTTCTGTTTATGTTTTGCCATTGGTATTGATAGCAAATGGCAATCGGAGCGTGGCGAGACGCAAAACCTGCAATGGCAATCGATTGGGGGTCTAAAAACAATTCGGAAAGCGATTCTGTTTCTCTTACATTTACAATGCAAAACGTTTCACTCGTCTGCACTGCCCTGCACTAATTTTGAACGATAATTGTTGGCACCGTATTTTCCACACTCTCCTCTGTACGTTTGTTCAAGATTTTCCGTCTCTTTTCGTTGACACTATCTGTATCAGTTTTCTATCCGAATGGAAATTCTTTCCTTTCGCCATTCGAAACAATATTGTTTTCTTTTCAAGCGTTTTCTTTTTCCTTCTTGTTTTTACATATACGTACAATAAAAAAAAAAAATAGTATACTAATAGCAATAAAATTGATTGTAAGAAAGCCAAATGCTACAGCAAAATATATACAGAAATTTATGCGATTCTGATTGGATAACTCAAATGCTGCGTAGCTGCTAGCTGCAAGCTGCAACTACAGTCACAACAGTAACTCCAAGTACAACAACATCAAATCAAACAACTATATAGATGGCACTGAACAACAACAACAAGAACAACAACCAACCAACAACCACAACTACAACTACAACCATTCTACCCTCTTTCTTCTTGCTAACCTCATATTGCAGTAAGAATATTGGGCATGGACGAGAAACTGCATCAGAGAATCTTCAATGATAATTTGGCCCTAATTGATACGCCACTAATAGTGATGGGTTCCGGTTCCGGCACGGTCACCACATCCGGCTCCGGTTCCGCTTCCGGTTCCGGTTACGGCCTGGCCATGGGCATGGGCATAGGCCTGTCCGGCAGCTTTAACTATCCGGGCTCGATGCACGGCGTGCCCAGCTATCCGTTCAATATAAGCGGCTTCCATCAGCGGCACATGGCAGCGGCGGCTGTCGATAATGAACCATTCGATATCATTGATACGGGCTTGGGCTACGGCGGAAACGGAAATGCCGGTGTTTACTACCAAAGTATGTGTACACGTATTAGCATGAACGTAATCCATAAATAACAAATTCCACGACCAACTAACTGCAAATCCAACCAAGCAAAAAATTTCAAAATAAATATATATATACCAATACCATATATATATATATATATATATATATGTATGTATAATAAATACGCAGCCGTACACACAGCCAAACCAAATCCAGATATGTGTGTGCAAACTCGTAGAACTAATTAACAGGCAAAAAGTTCGTTGTTTCATTTTGTTCGTTCGTTCACCATTTTAGATAGATTTTTGTGAATTTATTTATGATTTCCGTTCTGTGTCGTCCCCCTGTAACCAAAAACACCCCCGAGTTGCAGGTACATTTTTGATAAAACCATCGAGTTCATTCCAATTTTTGCTTATGTGTTGAAGGTGAATACATACTATACGATACTATATATAAATATACAAATTGGCGCGATCCGTGCGCCACTTGGCTTTGTGCATAATTTTTGGCAATTGCTCAACAAAAAAACAAAAGATACCTAAGTAACTACAAACAGTTTATACTTTACAATTTCTATACAAATAATAATATTTACATATCTCGAACTCTTTCAATTGCTTTTGTGTTCAATTCTTTTTACGTAGCTTGCCATTTGTTTTGAGAGTTTTTTGAAATTTTCCTACAAGAAATGTACCAAAAACAAATTTAAAACAACCAATTTGCTTCCAATGCGTTAAAAATCAATTCTTTTCTATGAATTTTGTTTGTCATTTTGTTTATATAACAGAAAAATCTAGAAAACTCAAATGAAATTAGCAAACTGTATACAAGTTGTGAATATTTTCGATACTAACTCTTTCGTATGTTAAGTGAGCAAAATGAAAACCCTAAACAAAACCAAAACCTAAACAAAATTCATTTAATTTTTTCCTAAAAATATATATTTAAACTTAAACCAAACAAAAATGAAATCCAAACAAATTTTGTTCAATTCAATTCCAGCACACTTTTTCAAATTTTTTCCAACGCACCCAGTTTTTGAATCCAAAACAATTACAGTTACTACACTCAAACATATCAACTAAAGCGTTTTCGATCAAATTTTTTGAGATCCAAGCCATCGTTCAGACCCCTTCAAGTGCAAACCTTTGTGTCATACATCCAACATTCAAGTTCACAAGACATCGAGCTCATTGTTTCATACAACAAAGCCACCGAAACATCAAAAACTTCCCTCGCCAGGACTTTTGTTCCACATAATTTCAAAAAAACAAACTGAGGTTGAATTCGCTAAAAGCAGTCGCGAAATACTCCCTCAAAGAAGAAACATACAAATTGATTTTGTTAAGACATTTTTGTTCGCTTTTCCGCCGCCGCTCGACTTTCTGTTTGGCTTATTCCATTTTCCGTTTGAAATCTAATTATTTGCGTTTACATTCGTACCTTTTTTTTATTATTGAAAGCATAAATTCATTTTATTTCTGCTGAGTCTGCAGCAAAGCGTTTGCATTTTCCTTTCAAAGACCACACTCACATACACACCCAGAGTACTGAAAACCAATAAAGTATGCCAAAGAAACACATTCTCACAGTCGTCAGAACATTAGCATAGAATCATGAGTCCCCAGACTGGGACCCCGAGAAAGCCTGATAAATAAATCATACCCCTCCATTTAAATACACAGCCTCCAAGGAGTACAGTCTTATGCTAGAATATCGTTGCCGATCCCCCCCAAAAACAGAATATTTTTATCAGTAGGTTTGGTAGTTTTTAAAGTCGAAACCAATAAATAAAATGTTAAACTTATTCTTCTCATAAAAATATATATATACATATATACCTCATATATAGAACTTAGTTGTGTTTTGCCAGCCCTGCAGACCCTGCGACCACGCCCCTAAAAATGTTGAAAGTATTATCCCCGAACTCCCCAATTGATTCTCACAATCTCTTCGCCTCTCCCCCGGATTCCAGTAATAGGCAATAAACAAATTTGTGGAATATTTGCATTTAATTTACGTTATTTATGTGCATTTTTGTTATTTTGATTTCATAATTTCGATCATTTTTTGTGCCGGCTCAAGGGGCCGGGATGCGGGGTACGGCGTGTGGGTTGTGGGTTGCGGGGGCATTTGAACGTTTTGTGATTACCAATTGAAACTGAAGAGCGAACAAAAAGTTGGTTAATTAAAATGCAATCGATAACTGCTGCTGCCGCCGCCCGAACCAACCTGCGACCGTGATTGATATTCCGATTGAAAGGCGGTTATGGAAATGGTATAGTAATTGAGTTATGATTAGGCCCATGGGCTTTGGGCTCTCAATAATCGAAACCACTTTTCTGGCCTTCAGTTAGGCATCGAGCACAGCCTCATGTGTGAATCACACCTGAATCCCCATAAATAAATAAGCCAATTGAGAGTGAATAGGCTAAAACGGATATAAATAATGAAATTAATTAAGACCATGCGTGCTGCCAATGAATTCAGCATTTTAATTAGTTCTAAATACCATACGCTCACTCTCGATTGGCGTAATCAGCGATTTTACAATTTATTCCAACAAAAAGCCGGATGATTGAGCCTAAACCAAACCCAATTGGATTAAAACAGGCTAATGCAGTTCACCAAGTTGGTTGGCGACAGGCGGTGCAGGTTTTTCGGGTGTGCGATTGCGATTGCGATTGCCGGTAGAAAGCGAGTGCCAAATCCGTATCCGAATCGAATATGCTGGAAAAGGGTTGCGCAAATCGAAAACTAATGAACTATTTCAAACATTTTCTCTACGCATCTCCGCTGCGGTCACCATTTCCATCCAACGACAAATCCCCACTCGACCTCGTCTCCCCGGGGCAACATTTGCTCGATGCGAATGCAAATGCAAATGCGACTGACACACTTGGGCACGTTTGGCCGGTTGCAGGTGGTCAGGATGTCGAAGTTGACCTCTCAACGGAAATAATCAAGCAACACTTTCAGGTGAGTGCAAAGAAAAGCCCCCAAATCGAGGCATGGAAAATGCAAAGTGCAGCTCACACAATTTGTAGCGTTTATTACGATGCACTGTGAAAAATTATATTCCATTTTGATAATTCAGAGAATTTAAGGGAACTATCCTAAATATCCAAGCAAACTTGTCTAAGAAATCTCTGTGAATGCTGTGAAACCTCAACTTTAACATAAGAAATTTGATTCTTTCGGAATATTCTGTATTTTATATTAAAAGTTCTATTATAACATTTAAATATCTAAAATAAAATATCTAAAAAATATTAAAATATTGTGAAAAATGATTTTTCTCCTTGATTTCATAAATATTTTTTATTATTATTATAATATTGTAGTAAATCATAAGAAATACTTGTTTTGTTTTCATTTCAAGAATTATTTTGCAGTGTGACCATATTCTCTAGAGTTTTAAGAGCTTTAGTGCTGGACTTTATTATAATAAATACAAAAGACAAACAAAACAGCTTTGAAAAAAGTATTTAAATAAATACGAGGAATATTTAAACAACTAATTTTTAATACAGAATATTATAATACATGTTTAAAACTAGGTTTCATATTTCCCAATGTTTTATTTGTACTTTAATAAATATTTTTCGAGTGGTACAATGACCTCTAGAGTCTTAAGAGCACCATTGCTGTTCCAGTACAAACTTAACCCCTTTCTTGCCGTGTATTCCTCCCCGCAGAGTACCTGTCACACGGCATTGGACACTTGCCGGGAAGATCCGTCCTGCTCATCGTCCCTCCAGCCCATGCTGACGCACTGTGAGCTCCACCGGTGCAATCGCAACGCGTGCATGTCCTCGTTGCAGGCCTTCTACAAGGGGCCCCACGAGGACCTCAATCTGGACATCGCCTTTTGTCTCTGCAAGTAAGTGGCTGGGCAACCGAGTGGTACTGTTTCTGGTACTACCGATGGAACTGGAACTGTAGAACCAACCCAACCATTCCATTGTTCCCTTGGTTTCAGAAAAACAAGCGGCGCCCAGCAGAACGGCAATGGCAATCGGCACGACATGTGCATGATTGCACAGGAAAAACTGCATCCAGTGTGCGCGCAGCGACCGCCCGATAACAGTAATCCGGCCAGCTCCAATGGCATTTACTACCATCCGCCGCCCGCCTGTCACGTGGTCGCCGACAGCTGCAAGGAGGACCGCGAGTGCAGGTGGGTCAAGGGTCATAATTCAAAAATCGGGCGTTAAGCGCTCAGCGTTGAGCGTTAAGCGGAACCGGAAATATGCGCGATGCAATGTATATTTCCCGACCGTGATGGTCGATACGTGCGGGCTATAAAGTAGCAGGGCTAACATTGCATTACCTTGACTGCCCAGTTGTAATTTAAAATCAATACACCTTTAATTTATAGGTTTACAAATAAACAGGTGAATAGGAACAAAGGATCTTAGATCTTAATTGTGGTATTTATTTGATAAAGAGTCTTATAAAGGTACCTATATTAAAGAAGAAATATTTATTCACACAATAACAATAAATATGATTTTCAAAACATTAATTAAAATGTATCTACAAATAATTAGGTTGAGATAAAAATATCACTAATATTCTGTAAGCATTGATTTAAATTTTTTTACAGGATCAGGTTAAATCTGTTGTAAAATAAACATTTTTAAACATCTTGGATACATTTTTTTTATTACTTACTTAAAATAATTGATTTAATGCAGTTTCTTGATCATAACATTTTTTTTACTTTCTTAGAAACTGTAGGTTTTTGTTTTGCTTTTCAAAATCTCTCATAAAGTTTATGGCTTTAATATCAAGACATAAACATATGAGAAACTGCCGAAACATGTTTTTAATTTATCCGCCAATTCAATTAAGCCAAATTGAATTTCGCAGACTTACTTAGACTCGGGCGCGCCTTGATATTGAATTAGAGGCGTTCAGCCACGGCAAAGTCAGCGAAAGCCGCAACTTTGATGGCACTCAGCCGAACTCGTTAAATTGACACCGTGGCACGGGCTCCGGTTAGTTGGTTAGTTGGCTCTTGGCTGTTGGATGTTGGCTCTCGAAGTATGGTACTCCGAAATTCCTTAGTTTGCCGGCAAGCAGGGCATAAAATTACCCGTTTACCCAGGGCAACTCCTCAAACTCCACGAGCCACCTCTTCATTAGGCGGCAGCTGGAAAGTCAGCTGAAACTCGCAGGCCAGACCGCGTGAATGTGTCAAACACAAAGTTAAGTTATAAATACGATGCAGCACCCAACAGCTTCCATCAGCTCGGATGCATATGCTTAGAAGTGGGTGGTGGATGGGTATATGGGTGTTATGTTTGTTTGTTTGTTGTCATGTTACGGCTGAACGACCGCAAAGTACGTGGTCGTAGCTGTGGCTGTGAAAATTAATTGCCTTTTAAGTGAATCGCACTTGCTTTGGTAAACAACTAAATTGGACTAATGACGCTCGTTTTGTATGCTTCGACGGGGGGATGGTGACAAAAGGGGTGGCTCCTCCGAGAAGTTCGAGGCAACGTGTGGAGTGCTTATGTTGACTTATTACGTATACGACGCGTTGTGCACCAACACGTGCCTCGAGTGAACGTGTTTCCGGCGCTGAATGCTCATTTGTTTGGCTGCCATCGAAGCTGCAGCTCTGACGTCTTAAACTGCATCCGTCGGTTGCACAAATCGTTGCTGGCATTACGCAACCAAGAAAGCGCAAAAAAAAACCTCAGCTTTTGCATCACTCGTAGATTGAGATAAGAGAGGGTGGAAATATAGAAATATGCACTTTTTAGGGATGCAAAAGTTCTGCTGCTGAAGGCGAACGGAAAAGTTTTTAAGGAATCCGTACAAAAACGTTATGGCATTTCTGAGGCGTTTTTCTAAGAACGAAATGAACTTAAAAACTAAAGTGAGCTACCCAGATTTTTATGAGGTTGGGAAGTCAATTGAATTTAACCAGTTTTATATAAATATTTCAACTTTATTTTTTTTTGTACCTATTTTGTATTTTACAAAAAGTTTTTATATATTGTGAAAAATTAAACTCATTTAAATTATGTATTTCTCAACTATTACAATTGCTTAAAACACCAAAGCATGTTTTTTAGTTTAAATACAATTTAGACAATTACATAGTTAATTACATTCTTTTTATTTACTTAACACTACAATGAAAAACCGGGAAATCAAAAAGCGACATTTGTTTATTTGGTGAACATAATGAACTAAAATCAAACAAAAATCGCTGAGGTCTATTATAAACACAAGTCACTATTTGTTTAAAAAGTAAATAGGTTTGCATAACTGAATTGGTCCGGTTTAGCAGTAGTATTAAATCTATATATACGGTGTGCATTGCAGGCACCTGACACCTGCAACCACAATTAGGCAACATCCCATCAGATTGGAATGTCCAAGTCGTCGCCCTGAGTCGATAAACTGCAATTGAAATATTACGCATACGTCGCATGGCACTTGACCAAAAATCACCACCCGAATGCCTGAGATTGGGGCCTCATAAATTCAGTCGCAATGATGCGGAAGCGAAATGGGTATTCGCCCCAAGACGATGAAATGCCGTAGAATGCCGAGAGTAATGCCGGCACAAATTGGTCCACATCAATCTCAGGTGCGAGAGAAGCTGCAGTGCAGGTAAGGGCCCACTTATCACCGGAATCTCCGGCGGAGTGGGGGCCATTCCGCCAGGAGAACTGCATCTGCAGCTAACTGGCGCATGACAGGCACGAAGACATCGGCAGAGGCACTGCCTCCGTGATGGGAACGGGGATGGCATCTTCTTTGAGGAGCTTACTTGGGTTTTACGAGGCTGCTTATCATGGCACCTGGGCAAAATTAAGAATAATGATCTAGGATTTTTCTGTTCGAAACTTTAAGTATTGCAAGTTGAAGTGGAACCACAAATAAAGAAGTTATTTACTCCCGAAGAAAGTATTATAAATAGATTAGATACATTATAGTACACACTTTGAGAACGTATGATTTATTAACAATGAATAATGAAAATAAATAAAAAGATAATATTTTATATTACCTTAAACATTTTCTTAATTTTAGTAACTTAACCGTTCTTTTAAATATTTATTTACCTTTCTTGAATAGACTAAAGTTGGAGTATTACGAGCAGGCCTGTGCCGTGGATAGCGTGACCAAAAAATGTGCCGGCAGACCCAGTGGCTGTCGAACAGCCATGATTGGCATTCTGGGCACCATGTTGAGGACGACCTGTGCCTGCCAAGGAACGGATCCCCAGCACTTGTACCAGTGCGTGGGATGGCGACGCCTCCTGTGGATGAACCCCTGTGTGGGTAAGTAACAAAGATAAATAAAAAAATCATTTTTAAAAATATTTCCTATTTTCACAAAGTTAAAGAATATTTTTTTAATAAATCTAAGTGTAACCTATTAAAAATATATACAAATATCAGGTTAATTAATTTTAAAGAAATATATCTAGTTTAAGGGAAGTAAAATCCTTAATTTAATAAACTGCTAGATTATTTGCGTTTATTTCCCACTGTATCTTGTACGCTCATTAACCCCGCGCCATCTTCGAATCTTGACAGTTGAGGCTCAAAAGGATTTCCATATGAAGCGGTTGGCTGAGCTCGGTTTCCTTACCACCACAACAACGACGACCACCACGACGACAACAACAACGACGACGACGACCACGCGGGCACCACCGCCCCCACCTCCGCCCACCACAACAACAACGACGACGACCAGCCTGCAGCCGAGGCAAACGCCAAGGAAGCCGGCAACGCACATCTTCAAGGACGTCAGTGCGGTGAGTGCCTGCTTAGGCGTCGCATCCTCCCACTTGGGGCCTAATTGCCCCGCTGCGGTCAACTAGTGGTTAATGCCATTCGAATCGTCTCGTTCGGTTCGATTTTAACAAGCATCAACAACAGTTACCTGTTCCGAAATCCCCCAACGTCCCCGCAATCCGTTCACCTTGTCCGTTTGTCCATTTGTCCGTGTGTCCGTTTGTCCGTCCGTCGGTTCGTTTTCTGTTTTCCAATCAGCACTCAATCAGTGGCTCAATTGGGGCGGCGGAGGCGTGGCTGGGCGCACGGCAAAGCGGACAATATGCCACACAACATGCCGGGTCAAACCGAAGTCCACACCCTGAATTCTGCCCGGATTCTGCTTTGCTGCTGACCACCGTATCCTGCACTCGAAAAAAGTTGTATCTTCTCATATTGCAACGAACAATAAAGCTTTATAAATAGTAATATACCAAAACTTTAAAAAAGTGTGTTGAAAATCATCTCTACTTTTTTTATCATTTCAATAAATCAAAAAAAGTTCTTATCAAAAATATGAAAAGAAACTGGTACATACACTTATCTCAAAAAATATTTATACTGATCTTTAAAAGTAAAATTTCATTTACTTAATATTAATCTTATAAAAAATCGAAATATTTTTTTTATAATCTATTTTAATATAAGATGTATATCCAAACTTTATATATAATATACATATCAAAATATATTATTAAAGGATATGCACATTTCATTTCGATGATTCGGACTTTAACAAGGAAGAACGCTATAGTCGAGTACCTCGACTATCAGATACCCGTTACTCAGCTAAATGGAGATATGCAAGCAGCAAAGCGAGATTAAAATGCGCCACCTACCGGCGGTAGACAGATTTAAGCGTTATGGGCGTTAGAGTGGGCGTGGCAAATTTATTTTTGGATAAATCGATAGGTATTGACGACACCAATACATTTCAGTTAAAATTTTTTATGTAGCATGCAAATTGTGGGCGTCACAGGTTTTCGCGGTTTGTGGGCGTTTAAGTGGGCGTGGCAAACTTTTTTTTAGGTCAATCGATAGGTATTGATGAGAACAATACATTTCAGTTAAAATTTTTTATCTAGCATCAAAACTGTTGGAGTTACAGTTTTGGGCGGTTTGTGGGCGTTAGAGTGGGCGTGGCAGTCTACTGAAACAAACTTGCGCTGCGTAAGAAGCTCAGGAATCTGTACGCCAAATCTCAATAGCCTAGCTCTCATAGTTTCCGAGATCTCAGCGTTCATCCGGACAGACAGACGGACAGACGGACAGACGGACAGACGGACATGGCTAGATCGACTCGGCTAGTGATCCTGATCAAGAATATATATACTTTATGGGGTCGGAAACGCTTCCTTCTGCCTGTTACATACTTTCCGACGAATCTAGTATACCCTTTTACTCTACGAGTAACGGGTATAAAAATGCTTTAAAAAGACCGAATATATAAAAAAAAATTTTTTGATATCGTAGCATACGATGTAACCTAAAAATCACATTTAAGCATACTTTTTCCGAGTGTGGCTACGATTCCTAGGGAAACTCTGTTTCAGTTGCTGCTTGTGGCCCAGTTCCTCGGGTTGGCAAACCGACAAAGCAATCAATTCCTGACCTGCAGCCAATGCTGCTGCCTTTGCCGCCGGAGCGGCAAAAAGATTAAGCCCTCCCCCACACACAACTATATATATATGCAATATACAATATATATTTCCCCATTCGTTTTCAAACTCTTTAACATCTTTTCTCCTCCTCCCCGAACAATTGCAACAATGAACCGCAAAAACCACGAAAAATGCAAATAAATAAATAAAAATGCGAAACAACAAATATGAAACAAATAATATGAAACAAAAAAAAAACAAAAAACCCTGGGAAAAAACATACAACAAAATGGAAAAACCACGAAACGCAAAACCAACCAAACAAAAAATGACAACAAAAAAATGTCGGTGAAAACGGCAGCCAAAAGAGAAATCAGAGCCAACATCGGTGGAACACAATTATCTCGATCCGCCCGATTCAATACCGCTGCCCAGCGTAAATGTCGAGAGCGGCGGAAATGGCGGAAATGACGATTATCACAATGGCAACGGCAATGGACACGGAAATGGAAATGGCAATGCTAACGGGAATGGTAACGGCAGACGTAAAAATGGCGGAAAGGGACGTGGCGGCAGTGTAGATTTCGATGATCCAGTAATTTTCGTCGACCCAAGGGAAACAACTGAATTTGTGGGCATCAGCATCACGGAGCCGGTAACCACAACAACCACAACAATGGCCACCACGACAACAACTCAGCCGCCAAGTAAGTAAATGCAAGTGGGTAATAAATTGGACCGCCCAGTGAGTTGGAATCGGGCCTCCAATTGGGGTCGAATATGACAGGAAATGGTTGCGCCTTTGTCCGCCAATTATGGGGCAAATATGGTCAGAGTCTCCGGTGCGTCATCTAAACCTTTTAGCACCTTAATCATTATATAGCAGATACACTGGAAACAAATGTTAAGTATTCAAAATGTACCTTTTCTCACTAATTCATCTTTGAAAAAACCATCCGTGAGAAAAGATTATATAGTCATAATGTTTAGACTATTACCTTGGGGCTTGGCTTTAATTATTTCTATGATTTTTTAATTAAATCAAAGATATATATTCTATAAATTTGGTAACGGGTTTTAAAAATTAAAACAAGCCTCTTTTTTTAATAATTAAAGGACTTGCTATGTCAAGTATAAATCATTCAAAGGACCGGTTGTTTTATTTTCTGTGCTCACCCACACATTACTCTTAATTTTTGTACTTTTGGGTATCGTTTCCGTTTTGAAGTTTTCAACATAATTGATGCGGTGACTGCGGTTGTTTGGCTAATTGAAAGCATAACTCAGCGCCGGCCGTGATTATTATTTTAATATTTTGTGCGGCGATCATTTAAAATTCAGTATCCGCAATGGTTTCCCCACCCGCACAATCAAACACACAACCGGAAATGAGTTTGCTTTCGGCCGATGTGGCAATTATACGAGTACAAATACACACATAAATACATATGTGTGCGCCAAAGCGCATCAAAGGACCTCCAAAATACCAGAGTATCTTGCGAACCTAGGACATGGGCAAATCCGATTAGATTTTGAATGCCAAACGCACACATATCACTCGACTGCATTGTGATAATACTTCCGTTATTTAAAACCTCCTGCCGAGGACAGCGTTTATTGTCCCTTCATTTATCACAGGGGCTCCGGGGTCGAAACGTGTTTGCAAACATCATTAAAAATGTAAATGAGTTTGTTTGTTTGCCCACCAGTCCATCAGTCCGTCCGCTTGTCAGTCAGTCACTCAGTCAGCCAGTCAGTCAGTCAGTCAGTCAGTCAGTCATTCAGTCACTCAGTCAGTTCGTCATCCCGTGTGGTCAGCTCGTCCGTTGTAATTATTTAGACACTTGGGACATTCGGCTTTGAATTTTGCATGAAATGTTTCTGGCCCGCAGCTGAACCCGTTTGTGTCTCATCTATAATTGATTTTGCTCGTGCAGTGTGGTGGAGATTTTAAAACTATATTTAACAGTCGGGGTTCAATTATTTATGTGCATGTTATGGCGGCTTTACTGGCCAAGTTGGCCCTAAAATGGCTATTTTGATTAGTTGGCAAAGCCCCAGGTGGTAGTTAAGTTCCATCTTGGCAGTTTAACTTCCCCACTGGTAGTAATTAAGTGCCAAAGTCTTCATCTGCTCGGGGTCTCAAGTGTGTAAGCATGTGCAAATTTGTGCTATATAAACACGGAGCTTCAACCCTTCGCCGGCGAAACTTTTTGGCCAGGAAAAACTCGTAATGGCGTTGATGACATGATGAATGCTCCACATGAGTGGCGGACATCCGTTATTTGGGCATGAGTGGCAGGGTCGCATTGTGTACGTTGGCTGCCACCAAATAAAGCAAGGATGTCTGTCCGTTTGTGGGTGGTGTGAAGTCAAGACCTCAAGCCCTCAACCCAAAAAAAACAGACACACTTAAATCCCCACAAAGTGGTGCGAATAGAGTGAAAATTAAGTTCCATTAAAGGTGTTAAACTTATTTATGAATAAGCTATAATTGTTTTAATGAATTATTCCACCAATTAAGCTCTCAATTTCATTTCATTTCATAGGAAACTGTGTTGTCCAGCGACCACGCCAGTCGGATCAACTTATTCGTGAGGGCAGCAGCAAACGGGTAAGAACTTAAATAAGTGTCAAATCAAAAGAACTTATTATAAATATACCCAAGTCGGCAACCAAAAATATTCCAACCATTTAAGTGCGTTAATAAGTAAAACACACTTAAGTGAAAATGGCAAGACCGAAGCCAAATAAGTGCAAATTAATATTTCATTTGTTGAGAAAGTGCTTTTTAGCGCATTTACGTAACTAAAAGTTAAGCCGTACAAAATGGCCAGTCAGCTAAAAAGTTGAGAATATACGTATGAAAAGTTGGATTCGAATGCAGCACGTGTCGGCACGTGCTGGGTAAAAAATAGGGGAATCATGAAATATATATAGAAATTCAGAGGGGTAAATAAATTTCCCCTTTGTTTGTGCCATCATTTAATTATGACTACACCCGGCGTATACGTAATGTACCCCGTGGCACAATGCCATTTTATAACTTCACTTCACTCACCTTTTCAACCTTCTCCTGGGGGGCGGAATTCTTGCGTTTCAGATCTACTCCTTGGACGACGTCGAGTGCAGTGAGCTGTGCAGCTGCGGCGAGTCGCTCATCCTCACCTGCCACGCCCTCTGCGTGCCATTCGCCCCCTGCCGCACCGCCCTGGCCTTCTACAGCCACGCCTCCCCCGCCTACCAGGCCTTCCGCGGACGTTGTCTGTGCTACTCGGGCCGCTTCATCTGCATGAAGCCGCCGCTCGGGGAGTACATTCTGCCAGGTGAGTTGCCAGTTCCTTAGTTTTTTGTTCCCCAAGCCCAGGGAACACCTGGATATACATATATCTGGTACGAGGGTACGGGCATTATTGTGGGGATCCTGCGGTGGCGTGTCGGGTTCGCTGTGCGTTAAGCACTTAGCGATTATCGCCGGCGACAGGCGATGACGAGGCACGGCTGTCAGGAGGAATGCAGCTGCATTTTTGCGTGCTGAACTCCTCTAGATATCTACACTACACAAATTTAGGGGCTATATTTTAGATTCCAAGAGTATTGGTTATGTTCCATGTATTTTTTTGTACCGCCTGATATAATAGGGCTGAAATAAGACTAGATTAATTGTTCTCAATTTAAAAATTTTTCATCTTACTTTTTCGAGAAGAAACGTTCTTAATATCAAGACAAAAGTTCTTTCAAGTTTGTTTTTCAAGATAATTTTATTTTATTTGGTAATAACATCCAAGAATTTATATTATTATGATTATTTATGTAAAATGTTCTTAATTTTTAAATTTTTCGCCTGACTTATTCGAGAATAAACGTTCTTGAATTCAAGACGAAAGTTCTCTTAAGTTTTTTTTTTTGAGATAATTCGATTTTGTTTGGTTATAATGGATATTATTATGGAATGGATATATTATTTTTACACTTTTTTCTTAAATAAGTCGGATTCCCCCAACACCTTGACAAACTTTAAGCCGATTTATTTCCAAGTGCACCCCACACACATTTCTTTAAAGCCTTTGTAAGGCACCTCCTTCGCTGAGGAGCCACTTTAGAGCGCATTTGACACACAAAAAAAAGAGGACCCATTGTGGCAGCAAGGTTGCGTGGTCCTTGTCCACTTGCCACACGGCACTTGCGTGCGTTCTCGTGCGCGGATCCCGGCAGTAAATTACGTTAGCTGCAATTGATGCTGCACTCGCTACATATTTCGTCCTTCCCCTCGGTTTCAGGTGGTATATTCCTGCTGCTGGGCTATAGTGCAGCGGATGAGGCGCTACTCAGGCCCCACACCAACCTGGGGGTCCAGGATGCCGTGCGAGCCCTGCAGCAGTACGTAACCACATACATCGATAATCAGGTAAGCCGCCGGTCCAGCGATCGCATAATAAAGTATGGCCAGCAATATATTAATTGCATTCCGTCGCCGGCTCACTCCGTATCCTCCGCAGACGCAGTGCACCCTCACGCTGTTCAACATGACCGAGGAGAACATCATCATTGCTGCGCGTCTGCCGCACGACGGCAAACTGAAGGATATTGAGCTGCTGCGTAAGGAGAAGGTAAGTTGAAGTGCCACAGGCAAGCCATGGATGCACAGAGAAAAATAAAAGATTTTAAACATTTACTTTAACTTTTGTTAAGCAACTTTCTTATTTATGGGTAATTTCCTTAAAGTATAAATATTTTTTTTGACAAGATGCTGAGGTCTTCATTAATGTGAAATACATTCTAAGAATTTAGGATGTGAAAAAATCAATATTTATTTTTTATTAACATTTTAAAATTTATAATATGTACTTCCTTCAAAATATATTCCTCAAAAAAAAGGGGGGAGTTTTGTTATTCTGAAACTTCAATAATTCAAACAGTTAGTATCGACATACACAGAAAATAATCCCTTATTATCATTCTATGCGCTTCTATATTGATTTTAAAACATTCCATCTTCAAAACATTTTGTTTAATAATAAATATTACCTTTTTGGAATATTTTAACACTTAAACATAAATATTATTTTTAATTTTGTTGAAATTGCATTGTGACCCTGATTTTCTCTCTGCGTATTAAACGTTAAAAATCTATTTCCCCAAACTAATCCAATCGACGACTATTGCTGCTTATCTGGCTGTTTGCAGGACGAGTGCACCGCGATACTGAAGACCATCAGTCATCAAATCAATAGCGAGCACAGCGAGCTGCAATCCCACCGACTGCTGAGCATTTTCAAAATGTCCGAAGTCGAGGTCGTCTGGCCGGAGAGCACCAGTGCGGCGGCGAGGAGTGGTCATGGTCCTGGCCAGTTAGCCGGATGCCAGAGCCGCCGGCTGCTCTTCGCGGCCATGCTGGCCGTGGCCTATCTTTCCAGCTGGACAACGCTGCGGATGAGCGATGTGGCGACATGACAGCCGCATAGCTGAAGGATTAGAGCCAGGACAATTGCATTAACTGTACGTAGTAGATACTTGTAGGGGGACTATCATCATCAACATCATCATCATTATCAACAATGGTGGGAAACGGCGCCTGGCGAGTTGGAACGATAGCGATAACTATAAACTATAAAGATATGGTGCATACTCTTAACATAGCGTAATCATAAAGTGTTGTATACATCTAGGGGCTAGTTCTGTGTTTAGCTGCGATTTTTGTGAAGCTTTGTTGTTGACCCTTGACGATGTTGCTGTCTCTTTTGATACGTACATACATGTGAAGCATTATGGGATATACAAAAAAACATATAGAACATACAATAACATACGCCTAGAACTCATCTAGATTAATCTATAATTTAATGTGAAAGGAAACTGCTGTCTACATAATAATATTGTTAGCATATAACAGAGGCAAACTCGAGAGTTGGATTTGATGAGGCGTGTACATAGAAGGCATATGCATTAAGTACTATCCGTAGCTAGTGTTTTATACGGTATAAACAATACACACAACTCCTGTCCGTCCGTCCGATGGTCATTATCGCACCCAAACACACAACAATTAACGTAACAATTGCATGGCTCTTATTGTTTGCTCTTTAAGCTCTATAAAGTTCTTGGCCGCCTCAATTAAAAAGAATTATTAACCGCCTTAACAGTGTTTACTTTGTTCCAGGCTGCGAGTGCCTCTTCTGGATATGCCAGTCCCCTTTTGATTTTTAATTACATTTTAATGCGGCCTGGCCTCCGCCTTTTTCATTCAGCCGGGAAAACAAATAATATTCAGGCGTGCGCGAATGAACTCATTTAACACTCGCTGTCGCAGTCGCATTCGTGTTCACATTCACATTCGAATTTGCGGATGAGCGTGCAAAACGTTATTGTTAATTTATTTCATAGTTTTCCGTTTCGTTTGGAGGCGCGAAAACAATTACGGTTTCATTATCAATTATGCGTTCTGCATTTCGATTGTTGCCACAATTTCACCGGGCCGAGAGCCGTGACCTCGCCTCGTTTCAACAGGTTTCATTGCTTACCCCTATCCCATAATCCTGAATCCTGAACCCAGTATCCACAATCCCGATTACCATTTCAGTTCGCTGTACATACTCTTACCATTTTGAAGTCTATTTACGTAATTAAATACTAACAGTACATATCAATATGAACACCTAAACGAGTTTTACACAGTAACGAAATTCTTACAATGTCCCTCGATTGCTCGAATCTTTTGTACATAGTTCTTTATACCAAAAACTATACATAATATTTACAACGATATACAAGAGGAAAACACATGCCTAAGTCAATGAATATGGTATGGGAACTTGATTCACTTTAAACAGCTAAGATGAATTGTATATTGAACGAAACTTCAGTTGAGCCTTAAATAATGAGTGTAAGAGCGAGGAAAATAGCTAATGTACATAGAAGAAACAACAACCTGAGTGAATGGAAACTCTTTAACAGATAATTGAGTGTTTGACACATGAACACACGCTACTCACGCACCACTCACTTTAAGTCTAAGCTTGACCATTTGAACCGAAACTTGTAGCAGTGTGTAACGTGCGCATATTGAAAATGGTCACAATCATGAAAAAATGTCTTCCTTAATGCATATACTCGGCGATATGTATTATGTTTATACACATAAATATATATACTAATTACCTATACCTATACGATATCTGGCCTACGCTTCAGTTAGTCGAAAGATAATGTAATATAGACACCAAGGGCTACAGCCGTATCGCTATCGAATATCCCTGCAAATTATAACACTGTTGACACAAATTAAAACTAACCGCAACATATCTAAGTCAAATATACCCCTAATTAAATAAATATATATATTGATAAATATACATATGCGTAAAGTTATAAACGTTAGAGAGCATTGAAAACTACTTTAATAGTCTCTAGAGAAAGCAACGCTTTAACCCAAAACTATATAGGCAGCAACAGCAGAGGAGTGTAAAGTTTATTGGAAACCTGCTTGGGATATCTTCTAGCTAAATATTAGATGAATTTAAGGCTATCCAAATCCAACCGGGCACTAACTTATCGAACCGAAAGGAGGAGCTCGTAGGTCGCTAGGAACACAGGGCAAATTAGTAGAATTGTTGGGGCATTGGATTTCAGTTCATTTGCTATCCTATCCATATCGTTTGATGGCCAACGAAAGCAGCAACTAAGTCGTTATAGTTTCGGAGCATATCAGTATACCAGTCGGGGCAGTCGAGTGTATTGTTTCATCTCATCCCCTCACTTATAGGGTGCGGACAAAGCGTAGCTACAATGTAAAGTACCGTTAAAGTAAAATGATAAATGAAAAGAAAAGCATCATGAAAAATGAAAAACAAGATGGAAATGAAGAAAATTACAAAATAGTCGCATTAATGTAAAAAGCAAGCAAAATGCAAGAGGAAAACTAGCACTCAAATAGCAATCTGTAGCATGGATACGTATAAATTCGAGGATAGCAAATCAGAAAGGCATCGTAATAAACGTAAAACAGAGGAGATACTTTGAAAATTATGCATGAGGAATACGAGAGCCACACTTCAAGTTTAAAGCTGTAAGTTGAAACCTAAAAAGTAAATGATATATATATATATATATACGATATGTTAGGATGGCATACGAGTGTGTGTTTGTAAGTAAGTGGGCTTTATGTTAGCGTATACAACCGAATTGAGGTACATGGATAAAGATAAATCTAAAAATAAATTATGAAATAATGCAAAGCGAATGGAAAACCAGCGATACGTCGTGGCATATTTGTATTAAAAACAATGTAAGTGAAACAACAAGAACAAGAGAGCAAAAAAATAAAGAAAACCACAAAATATAGAAATTAAAGGACGGTGTTTCATTTAATTGGGTAGACTGGAATTTATCTCTTGGGTAAGTTTGAATCTTTAATTAAAATATTTAACACCAATTTTAGACTTAAGAGTTCGGTGATAACAAAAATATATTTAACATTTATCTTATAAATATTAGGGTAATATTTATAACACTTCCAATAAAGTGTTGTCTACAATCCAGATTAAATAATTGTCATTTTTTTAAATTTTAAAAATTTTGAAATATAAGAATTGGTTTTAAAAATATTATAAAATATTATAGAAATAAATATAAACAACCAAGAACTGGAGTTCCTTATAAATCATTCGATTTATAGTATACGCATAATAATATTATAGATTACTATTAAGAACTTTACTACCGCTTTAAGGCAATAAAAGATAAGAACCGAACTAAGAAGGTTTTAAAAGATCCAATCCCTGAATACGTAAATCTGAGGCGGTCGAACTGAATCAGTTTATATATGTTGAAGGCTTTGGTTCTGTTTTTTATTCCATCGCTTTTTTCTGGGCCACACGACTCTCGATGTGCACTTCATTATTGACCCCCAAAAGCCTCCCAGCGATCGGCAACTAAGTATGTGACACTATCGAGGCGAACAAAGCGGGGCATACAATACCGTGCCAGGGAGTGCTGGAATTGAATGGAACAGGGAACTAAGAGCAGGGTTCTGAGAACAGGGGCGGTGTACAACAAAGACAGCGCAATATGAAGAAGACCTGCACACACATACTCACTAACAAACCAGGGTAAACAAGGCCAAAAAGGCGGCAGCAGAAAAGCAAAACGAACTGGCTGAAAAGAAAAGCCAACCGCACACAATGCTTTTGTATGTGGGGTGGGGGGATGGGTTCTGTGGAACAAAAGATGAGCCGAAGACAAAGACACTTGCTCAAGGCAACGCCGTTTCATGGCTTAAACTCAAGTTTCCTGGGAACCACTCGACTGCACTCCACACACCCACAATCACAAGAAGCAGCACATCCACAAAAACACACCCATGCCATACCATACTATACCATACCCATACCCAATACTTGAACAACAAAGAGTAAGGTCAATCATTGGAATTTTGCCAGTTAATTCGCATACAAAAGGCGGTGGCCCAGAAGAGAACGAAAATAACACGACCTCCCCGTTCCTTTCATCCTGATGGCCTGATGGCCTGCCCGCCTTTCTGACTTCCTGCCCCCTTTGACCCGCCACGCCCATGCTGGCATGCTGAGTTCGGCATTTATACTTCCACTTAATTAGGTAATAAATGATTGAAGAAATTATGTCTAGACGTGAGGACAATTCCGATGCCTTGGCTCAAACACCCACACACTCACACACATGGGAAATTCATTCCGGGCACGTGATGGGTTGAAAATGTTGCGAATTTCCACACAATCACACATGCTGATGCTGTGCGACATCCATTTGAATAGGATTCACATTTAATTCTCACCGCTCTGGCCGTGATTTGAAAAGCAGGCATAAATTGTAAACAATTTCTTTTTGATTCAATTTGTATAACCTGCTGCCGCTAAGTGGCAATGCTTTTGTGAAAAGCCCCCCGGCACAAGCATATGTATTTATTTCGCATTTTATTTAGCATCCAAAGGACGAACGATGCCTGAATAGCAATAGCGAAATTGCGAATGAATCGTAATGAAAGCGGGAACGGGGCGTATACGCGATGCGGGCTTGCCAGTTCATTAATATGGTGCAAACGCTGAAGGTCGATGATGTGAGCTATGTTTGTGCGGCTCGTGCAGAAACACAAAGAGAAATGGGTCATACAAAATGGTAGGTGATTTGGTAATTTAGAGGAATAAGCTGAAGCTTAGTTGAGGTTTTTTTTTTTGGTTATAAAAGGTATTAAAATTATATTGAAAACAGTAGATATTACAGTAGGTATGGACATATATTTCCTCATCTTTCCGAACAAAATATTATGAATAAATATTATTATGTACATCTTATTTATCAGTTAACTTAAATATAATATTATAATTTAATATATAAAATACCAAGGAGTTTTTGGCAGGGGTTTATATATTTATACTGTTCCTAAGAGTTAGGAACCCCTTTAAAAGAAGTTTAGAAAAACATTTGAATCGAACATTAGGAAATCAAAAATAAATAAAATTGCTTGGTACAAGAATATAGTTTATAAGAAAATAGTATATATTATATTGTTTTAACTTTCAGGATGAACAACTGGACAAGAAGTTCTTGAAATCATTCGAATGGAGCGTTAAAAAATCAGAAACAAATATACTTCATAGTTATAAGAAAGTTGTGATTTAAGAAATAGAATCATGCCCTGTTTTTCTCACTGTACAGGAGTAGTCATGGCTGTTGTTGCACGCACATTTATCAGGCGGCGATGATTACGTGTTTGCCATTTTATTGCTAAAACTGTTGCGCCTTTT